AAGTATTTTTAAAGAGATTGAGATTATTACTGATTAAATCCTACTATTTCTACGGCAAATTCAATCATTTACATTCGAAAATGGTAAGTTTTGCATTGTTATAAAAATTTAGTTTTCTCCGTGTTCACAGTCGGCAAATAGCTTTCTGGTTGAATGGACAACTCATCCCTTCCGCTCAACTCAACAACCTCGGTAACTCCCACTATTGACCCATTTCTGTAAATGCGGGATATATTTGGTACTTCCCCAGTTGTATTATCTTGAAGGGTGTTATTATTCGCGTATTTGCTTTAGAAAGGTTCATATGTATCTACGTAGTTGTATTTGTAGTTGTAATAACCAAGTAAACAAAAAAGTAACGATATTGACCCGATGGTTATAAAAAGATTAAGAGAAAAAGGCATTATGCAAAAAATAAAGTATGTCTGGAAGTAAACAGAAAAGTAACTGATATTTGATTATTATTTGCTGTAAATTTTTGTTTGTATTGTTGTTTTGTATTTAATGCGAATAAATCGATAATACCAACAATCTAAACCGGATTAATGTAAATTTCCTAAAAGAAAATAGGAAAATAGGGATGGTCGATCACAGTCGACTAGAAGCAAGCCCAATTCTTTCCAAAGAGCAAGATGAAAAATCTGAAATTTTGCGGACCTTCTATCGAATTAAGTAACTAAAATTTATATTTACTAGGAAAAAACAAATCAGTAATTCAAATTATCAACTGCATTAACTCGCATGCAAAACAAAATATACTATGTCAACAATTAATTTGAATGATTTTCAATTATGACCGATCATCTACAAAAATATCCAATTGCTATTATAACATGTGAAAAAATACATCGCAGAAATTAAAAAGATAATTGAGTACCTACTAAGATATTACAGTTTATGATTTTCAAAAAATTAAAGATATTATGCGGTAGGTTTCTTCCTTTTGCCTCCAAAAAAGGATTTGAGTGTCAAATATAGATATTAGCGAAAAAATGTCAGACATGCTTCACACGGAAAACAAGACATTTGAAAATGAAATTGTAACTTTATAAAACTGAAAATACATACTAAATGAATCGGCTTTTTCATATTTAAAGTTAACGAATACTACACGTCTTTTTCTATTTATACTAATTGAAGTTTCATTATTTTTATCTGGAAGTACACCACGTCTAAATGTGCTAAGTAGTAGATGGAGACAAATTTTTCAGAGGAAATGTCGTATAATACTGAAATTGGTCACCTCGGCACTAGAGGTTTCTGATGCTATATGTGCCTTATTTATTGATTTTACTCAAAGCATCCTGTTTTTTTTTTTTAATTTTCTGACTACATATAGATAAGGCAAAATGTTTACCGAACATAGGAATTACATGAATTTGGTGAATGTTTGGAATATGCTTTTTCAGTCTTATTGCTGTCTTCGTTTTATTGACGTTTGGGTCTATTTTAGTTTAAATGCTACACTATTAATGATACAGAAACCTCATTATTTGAAAGATGAAGGAGTAAAGAGAAAAAACCACCTACAATTAACTGCAAGATTCAGATTGGGAAGTGAAAATAGAGCGTCAAGGTATTGGGAAGAAGAAGAAAAGAAATTATGCAGATTATGTAAAAAGGAGCCAGAGACGCTTGAACATATTTTTGAGCGATGTGGGGAAACGGGAAGTTCTGCAAAAAGCTGGAAAGCTCAACTGGAAGGAGTGAACAACATGAAAAGGATGAGAGAAATCTTATGGAAGAGAAAAATAGCAGGAGAAGAAAAATAATAAAAATTGTACTTGGTATATATAAAACATATTTTTGCACCTTGTATATATAAAACATAATGTTTTTAATAAAGCTAACTACTACTACTACTACTACTACTACTACAGTAAAGGTCCTGAATGAGAGCCTTGCGGAACACCAGATGTTACTGATGTTTCAATTTTGATAAAGAGATACTTAGTTTGTATAAAGAGTAACAGGCAGTTATATAGATGGGGCTGCAACGTAGAGAAGTAAATATTAGGGAGTCAGAAAGGGATGCACTCTGTCACCGCTACTTTTTAATCATTCAAGACAGTACAACAAAATATTAGTATGCTTAGATTTGCAGATGATAAAGCAGTATTAGCATCTAGCAAGGATGAGTTAGAGATAGTTTTAAATATAATGAAAGTGGTATTGACAAAACAGTACTGCATGAAAATAAATAAAAGTAAAACTAAAATACTGGTTTGCAAGGGAAGAAAAAGTAGGGGATGAAAAATTAGAATAAGTGGCCGACTTTAGGTATCAAGGAAGTCCCTTATCTGACTTCCTTGATACCTAACAGAAGGAGTAGTAGGGATATAAAGCAGAGGATAGCGCAGGGTCGAGTCGCTTTTAATAAAAAGAAATCACTTCTGCGGTCGCGAACGGATAATTTAGAAATTCGAAAATGGTTGTTAACGGTGTATGTTTGGAACAGGGCGCTGTACAGAGAATTCTACAGAAATCAATAAGAAACAGGCGAGATAGGTCAGTGGGAAACCTTCTCAGGCATAAAGGTCTAGTCAGAGACATATTAGAGGCAGAAACGGGAGTTAGGAGGGTTAGAGGTAGTCCTAGATTAGATTATTGTTCGCAAATAGTTAAGGATATGGGTTGTTCTAGTTTTAGGGAAATGCGAAGATTAGCTCAAGATATGAAAGAGTGGAGGTGCGTGTCCAATCAGTGTTAGGACTGACCACCTTATAATTATGATGAAAGATATACATCAGGAAGAAACAACTACAAAGAAAACGAAATTATAATAAATCAAAACAAGTTGAAATAAGGTTTAGAGCTTTTAAGTGAGAGGTAAAAATAAATATGCTGAAAATTAAATTCTGAATTCCAATAGCAAAATATGCGAATGCATGCTTATGGCTTAATTTCATAGTTGTTCTATTAATAACCAGAAATGAAATTAAAATTTGAATAACTTACGAATTAATTTCTATTATTCATCTTACAAGCAGGTACATTGTATTCTAATACACGTTTGAAAATAATGATCTATTTTTAAACGTCAAATAAGTAAACGATGCATAGCAGTGGTACGATAGTATTTTTAAATTTGATTTCACCAACAGAAGCAGTTAACTCGGGAAATTACGCATAGTACTTTTATAATTCGAAACATGCTTACGATACGCAAGTCTGTAAATGTTATCAATTAGGTGTTGAATTTTCTGATCACGACATTTACAGGAAACTCTAACTGCCTGTTGCAGAATGCAACTAATCTTAGCTATGGGTTAAAATTAACAAAAATTAATGAAACACATTACACTTAAGCACACATATGTTAATCAACAAACAACTGTGAATCTGTTTCATAAATAAAAGTGTTTTATCATTTTACAATTTTAACCTTTATCAACATAGAACCTACTATAAAAGAAAATAGTATTAAAACCAAATATCTAGCATCCAATTTTGATTAAAAATAAGCAAGTACTACCTTACTTTAGTTTACAGTCTTTGGTTTTGCATTTTTTATCATCTTAAATGAAACAAACCTATTGAAATTTCAATTAAGTATTTAAACTTATAAGTTCAACTGTAGTATGAGTTCAATTTCTCTCTCTCTATATAGATATATACTCTCTACTTCTCTGAGGGG